CTTAGGCTGAGGTCGGCCTTAGCAAATACTTTTTTTGGACTGTGATACCTATTCCCATGAGCCGCAGTAAAACTACGACGTGACCCGAATATATCTAAGCGCCGGTGTATGCAGTCACACCACTCGGTACGGTATGCCAGTGGCACGCCTACTGAACCTTCTTCAGGTGGACATCGCTGAAAATCAGGGTTAGATTCATGACCGTCGAACTTGTGGTGGCCTAGGTGCTGGGGAGCGACTTACAAGATCAAGTCGGCGTTGGGAGGAATGTGACCGGTAAATCCACTATTTTAAGAAACGAGGAAATTAGACAATTGCTTCGAATGACAGAGACTCCAGCTGCGTCGATATGTGATATAAAAGCGCATGAATGCGGGGTCGGACAAGTCATAAATGGCATTGCCAACATGCAAATGGGAGACAATCAACATACCGGGCACCGTAGCCGTAATCGCTATTGCATAGCCAGGTTAGCTATTTATATATATATGATAAAAATTGTTATGTAAATCCATACCTGGTAATGTCCAAAGTGGCCTTCTCGCCAACTTGCATCTGGGTAACACCCTCGTCCCAGCCTATACACGCACTGTGTTAGTTGAAATAAGCAGAACACTGATGTGATGACTCTTGCCTTTTATGACCTGTCCAACGCCAATTCGCGTGACAAAGTCGCCGCGGCCGACAGACGAGTCAAACCTATAGTTATAGATGAGCGGTTATTCACCAAGTTGGTAGCCTCGAGACGACAGGTAACTTGATGTCACATCAAGGTATATGGAGGGGCAGTGCCGGGATGGATAGATGGCGCAGCTACCCCCTCCAATGGATTGGAGGGGCCGCCCTCGTTCTGTTTCGCCTCTCTATCTTGGACGACATGTTCTACTTACTTGTCTCCCTTGTTATCGGGCTTGCTGGTGTCCTTAAGCCAGCCGGTGTACTCGATGGTGACAACTTGGCCGGGAGTGGGCTTAGGACCGCTGCCCTCCTGATGAGTAGTCTTGGCTACAGCCATTGTGGAGTATATAACGACAACGATGGGATGTTTGAGTAAGGAGGTGAGGCCGGAGAATCGAGCTTTGTTGGGGTGCTCTTGGACTGGTTCGTGGACAACGAGGAGATGATTGAAGAACGAAAATGAAGTTTCTAGAAGAACCGGGGAATACGAGATAAATAAGTAAGTATGCATGTACGTGAAGGACCCTGGTGAATAAGTACCTGACGCAGGTGGGATGTTTAGCGTCTTGTCGTCCACTGGGTCGTGTTTCCATGCCACAAACGACAGCCAAAATGAGGGGCAGGCACCGCAGAGCTTTCACCAGGTCCTATGGATGTAGGGAGTGTGGGGCCATAGGCACAGAAAAAGGCAAGTACATATATAGTACCCGTTTACATAGCAGGTACTTACACTACTTGCCTGGGTGAGGGTACCTTAGGTACCAGGGAATGGAGGAGGAGCGTGGGATGGCCGAGTGTAGTGCACGAAAGAGCGGCCAGAGTTGGCGTGGCGGGGCCGTGGTCGACTTTCAGCCGTACGTGTGACGGTGTATCTAAGGTATCGGCTGTCAGTAGTTATACCAGCCATGTGCTTGAGCCTCGAGAAAACATTAGCTACCCGACAAGTACCGTCTACATTATTACACGTATAAGACTCGTCTCACAATCGAGCCTATTTACAAACATCATGCTTGACCATTACGGGCTGGTATGCTCTTTACGATCAATATCTAAGTATCCACCAACCTACATCTATGAATAGTACAGATGATGATACCTACAGGACTTGCCCAAGCCCGTATGTGGTGCGGGTACATCCAGTGTGGGGGGACAGTTCGCTTATTCGAGCATAACTGTACCTAATTACATATCGCTACAAGGAAGTAGGTACTACTACTACTAATGGTAGCAGCATTCAAGTTGTTCTAAATATAACGTTGCACATCAAAAACAAAGGGAACTAATAGTATTCCGATACAAATTCCAAGTCATCGTTGGAATAAATGAGTACGGTAGGATGTGATTAACTTGCGGTGTCACGGTGACTTGCATGTACCCAAGTCAATGTGTTTTTGGAAATGACGACATGATGAGGTGGGATGCCGATCCCCCGCTTTCTTACGATGACTCGCAGCATCATTAGAGCCAAACTCGTGCAATCGTGGATGGCCAATGGCCCTCTCACCGCAAATGACACTTGGCCCATACATTTCCCTCAATTTCCCCCGCCCCTGCAGATCTCAGCAGCAACAACAACAATAGCATTAAATAAACAAGCCGTCTGATACCCTTGTTTCCAAGTGCCCTTACCAAGCACACAATAGTAACCACTGCTATGGCGCAAGGGGAGTAGGTGAGCCAACTAAAGGTTTGTGTTATCAGGCTTACTACCTAGGTAGCAATTACGAAGATGACATCGCGATGAGAGATGATTACATAGTACCCCCCCTGGCAAAGTGAGCCCATTGTCGTGCGGGGCAATTCGCGGCATTGATTGATTCACCAAGGTCGACGATCACGTTACCTAGCCCGCGTCGTCCGCTGGCAAACACTCGGCCTAGTTCCCTGTCACGCTGCTCCCGACTCGGGCCCTGCAGGAGTTGGAGGAGACGGGAAGATAAGCGAAGCCAGCCCTATCCATTAGCCGTGGAAGCTAATGAGATCCCTCGAACCGCAGTGGGATTAGATGAAATATACCTACCTTATTCTCTGTGTCTACCTGCACCGGGTTTCTAAGATGATCGCTTGAGCCGTAGTTTATTGGAAAGGCCTGTCCACTACACGCCCTGGTGATGATGACCGCTATCAGCTCGGATGTTTTGACAGGCAGCTGTTCATCCGGGCCTCAGGGGTCATTAAGACCAACTACACCCGGAAGAATGGGTGAAACTTTATCGAGCGCCGGTAGAACGGCAGTGATTAAAATGTCACACCCTCCGCGTGGCTTTGCGGGGTGCCAGAGGTCCACCACCTTGTCCCTCATGGAATATGAAGGCTATCAAGACGCTCCTGACCTGCTCAAGGAAATATCAAATTTGTAGAGACTTAATGTGTTTATTAGATCTGTCGTAGTTCACTGGCCCACAGCAGATCGATCCCTGCGGGAGTTAAACAGACTCTTCCTTTCGTTGAGGCCCTGTTGACCGCCATTCTTCGACGCGGCAACTTATACCAGGAAGATCCAATTTACGTCTGTAGGGAGGCTCGGAAGATGCCGCAGTCACGCGAACTCTATCACGTACAACAAGCATTTGATCCGGATCACTTAACTTAATAACTGCACCGAGGCAAATAACGTACCAGTGCACGGTGAAAGTAGCTGTTGAACGGCACACCGTAATTGACAAAACCGGTAATCGACTCGGGGATCCTTATATACTTAGTAGAGGGCATTTACCTGAATCCCTATTCTCGACAGAATATGTCTCGCCTACCAGTGAGATATTCAGTTTTGACTTGATAGTATTTATTCAGATAAGGAAGGCACTACCAAGTTATACGTGTTATAAGACACGCGAGTAAAAACATTGAAAATAACGGAAAACGCGGGAAACCAATAAAAGCCCCTGGACTACCAGAGAGCGGGAAATGAGCTGAGTATAATCTCATAAACTTCTAAGCAGGTCGTAGCCCACTGCGCGCGTTATACATACAGCACGGGGCTATGTTCTATTCCCACTCAATGACAATGTCCTCATTTGAGCTTAATCTAATTTGCCTGTGGCAAACGCTACCCAGGTCTTTGAGAATCGAAGCCCTGCCTGAAAGATCAGGAACAAGTGGCGTGGGGTGAATTGCCGAGAAGAAATCAAAACTGGTGTCTCCGAGAAGACCGGCGATCAGTCGTAACGCAGCGGCCATGATGGCTGTGTACCTATCACGGTTCGTGGCGTAATCTCCGGTCGACTTTAGTTGCCTTGTATTTCTGAGATATGGTTACACATGCGCTTTTCAGACGGAAGCCCTCAATAGCCTAGACTTCGCCCAGAGGTTATGGCCGCGCATTGTGGTTCCATAGGACGCCGTCATCCGGGTGTCGGGCTGGTGACCTGCTACGAGTAAATTGCTTTGGCTGTTTACATTGTGGTACCCAATACGCCTGAGCCGTCGCCCATTTCTTAGCCCAAGACCTACCAATTCGCATCTTAGCATCATATGCAAGCGAGATGTTTTCCATGATTGTCCGCCACCCATGCTCTCTCCCCGGTGTCCATGTCATATTCCGTTCCTCTCTCTCTAGCTTTTGTTTCTTCCCCTTCTTAACACCGAAAAGCCGGTTCTTATGTAGACATGTAAAGTGTGCAGCCCCCAAAGAGGTAGATTGAAACACAACGCCGCTCTACATCCGCAACAGGAGACAGGGTTCAGCAGTGTCCCACTTCTTACCTCTCTCTCTCTTTATCTCTCTCTCTACTCTTCCTATACTATAATGATACTCAATACCGACTATCCCGGAAAGCTGTAGCATGTTACTGAATGATGAAAAAAGAGAGCTATGCAGTTAACTTGTTCTACTCCGTCGAGGGCTGAGGCACACAACGAACGAACAGATACCGAGACACTTACCAAGTAGCCAGCTCAACCAGCTAGATTAGCAACGACGCTATCTTCTAAGATACCCAATGATAAAGTAATTATAAGCTAGGCAGCAAGCGTACCAGAATATCTTGCCCTGCCCTCTCTCTACCTGGGCTTGTCTCCTACATGAACAAAAACGGCTTTAACACCACCTAGATCTTAACCCTATCAATAAACAAAAAAGACGAACATATCGCCTGATATTTTTCCTTTCTCGCCGAAGCCCATGCCTAATCTTTTTATCTGGCACACTTTTTCTTTTTCTTTTTCTTTTAAATTACTTGGTTTATTTCTGTCTCTGTTTGATACTATGTTCGCGTGGTAATTATTCTGCGCGATCCATCCCAAGTAATTAATAGTGCAGCGAGTTCCGCAGATCAGCATCCTCACTTTCGACTTCGCATAGCGAATTGGCGAAAACAAACGGCTCAGTGGTCTAGTGGTATGATTCCTGCTTCGGGTCGCACCCTTCCATCTATCTACATGGGAATGCAGGAGGCCCCGGGTTCGAATCCCGGCTGAGCCCCAGCGCCTTTTTACCTACGAAGTTACCTGATCTGCTCCTTAACTAAAGTTAATTTTATTAAACTCAACTTCTTTTTTATACCATACACGTAATAAATAAAATTTTCATTTGTCAGTCAGTGTTTTATTGTGTCTAGGCTAGTGTTTAGTTCATTTATTAATCATTAGCCATTAACTTGTACAGCTAGGATCATTCCGTCATGTCTTAGATCGCCCTTTTTTCAAGCGAGATACATTGATAAACCTTCAATATAGGCCATCGTAGACATTCATTCATCCGCCTCAAGAGACTTGAGTCTCTATACTATTACATCATATCAGAGGAGTCGTCGTCCATGGAATCTGTTTCTAAGTTGTTAGCAAGAAGGGTGGGTTTGAAGTAAGTGGTAATATCCCAACGCACCGTCGTCATCTTCGCTATCGCTCTTGTCCCATACCGACTCCATGTCTTCGATCACGTCTTTGATCGCCTGTGAAAAGGCGCTGCCTCTCCATTCCTTCACAGACTTGTTTCTTGACCCTTTGAAAGTGACTTCGCAGTTGCGTATAGGGTGGCCCAGTGTCCTCTGCTTTACGTAGGACAATCTAAGCATTTTGAGCTCAAGATTGGATTTCGCCAGCGCATTGCATAAGCGGCCCCAGTAGTTGACCTTCGCTTCATTTGTACCTTCGAGCGTAATTTTATGGAGGCTGATACCCTGTAAGGTTGATTTGTAGTTTTGGTATAAGTCGATCAATATGCGTTCCGTCACAGTTGCCATCCCGATATCTAGATGTTGCAAGTTGGAAAACTTTGGTGTAGGCGGGAAATGTGAGGGTAGACGTTTCAAGGCCTTGAAAGGTTTGTCAGTCCGGGATCCAACGGTCATTTACTGACGGACGGGAGCCTCACATTTGCTGCTGCTAGCGATGCTAAAGGACTTGCCGTGCCGAGGTTAGGGGACTCGAGCGCGTCTGCTAGCCATGACAGAAGCCTCTGTGTAGAATCGCGGTCATACGACTGAAAATTGAGCCGTAGATGCTCAAGGGCTGGTGCTTTTACCAAAAACCTCGAAAGAAAATACCCTGATCCGATGATCGGGTCGGCCCTGCCACCACAATCGGCGACAAGTATATATGGCTCCTCCCCACCGAGACTATCTAGAAAAATCGACGTGAGCTTACCGAGCGCCAGGGAAATAGCGGCGTCGAAGCGATCAGGTATCTTGAAAGATTGGTCGGAAATATGACAGTGGTGGAGAAGGACCTCAAGCCGAGTGAGATCAGGGCTGCCGTGACCGGACACTGGGTGACGCGGCGTTAGTATTTTCCCGCAACCGTTCTGAGAGCGACTTGGCCACTCCCACATCTCAGAGGAGCCTTGTCAGAGAACAGAATGTGTGGGAGCGTACATACCAGCAGCGTTTCCGATGGCTCGTAGAATGGTCAAGAAGACGTGACTAGTATACTCGGGGCCACGACCTATAACCGGTATCTCCAAACGACGACCTGTCCTCTCTAGGAATGTGGGACAGCCATAGCTATTCCAGGCAGTACTGTCGCGGCTACGGGTTACCGAGTGGAAATCTCTCATGCCAACAGTCTCGAGGTTTGGCAGGAGTTTGATGGCGTCGGACAGCATGTCAACGTCTTCGCCGGTCATGATGAATTCCAGGTGGTCGATACACTCGGCCTGGTACTCATTGGCCTGTACCGCCGTCTTGCCAGAGAGAATTGGCGCTGGAGTCATGCTAGTATACCGCGTGGCAATTCGGGTGGCATAAGGGCGCTCTAGGTGGATGATGAGGTGAGTGAGGCTCGGGCCGAGGCGCGAGTTGGCGATGTCGAGAAGAGCCTGGAGGCTGAACTTGACCAGGGCAAACTGTCTCTTGGAGAAGAATTCTCGGGCAAAGGCGCCAAACAGCAGCGCCTCGAGCTGCTTGCAGGTCCTCCGGAGATAGCCATACTGCGGCGTGGTGAGGTACGAGGTGATCTGGAGGAGCACCTCGAGAGGCACGTTGAGCAGGTGAGCCGCCATGACTGGGAACCGAGGAGACGAAACAGATCAGGCGGAAGGGGCTGGCGACGAGAATTGAAGCTGACGAGCGTGGATGATGGGATCCGTGTATGTCTGCCCAGGACGGACTTGCGATTATTTTATAGTCACGCAGTTGTGAGCCAGATGTCGAGTCCGGGTCGTCTTGTCTCCCAGGTACGCCAGGCTTCCGTCTCGCATGTGTAGGTTAAATGGCCCCTCTCAAGTATCCTACAGGCTGGGTGCGTACATGTAGGCAACCATCAGGCAAGATTGTTGGAGGGCTTAGGTTAGTAGGTTAAGGGAGTAGCTACCAGGTAATGTTCCCGTCCCTTATCTACCTAACATTACCTATTACATGTAACTTCAAGTTACCTACCTACATGATACATCTAGAAGTACGAAATAGTAACCGATCACATTACATACATTTATCAAACCGTCGAGGTGAACTGTACTAATGTACCGATGGGATTAATGGGAATCGGCTCGCCTCAGAGGGAAGAGGTTAATCCAGTGGCTTTACTGCCGGTGGCCCCAGGCCTACCGTAGGTACGTGCAGATTAAATACCAAGTACGTAAAGGAACCGTGTATCTACCAAAATTACATGTAGTAGATACACGCACATCCCGATTCCATTCACGAGGAAACTTCGTACCTGCATTAGGTACCTTGAGTAGGTACTTTAGGATCGAATACTACTAGTACCTATATGTACATTGAATGTAAGTATGTATGTAGGTACCTACATGTACCTAGGTAGGTAGGTACCTACTACTATATGTATCTTGCTAGGGAAGGACTCGGGAGTTGTAATCATTCCAACACGCGATTTAATAAACCAATTGGAACATTACATGTAACCAAGAAGTAAAGTAAAGTCGCTGGTTATTATAGCGTCTTCCTTTACGCCCCTTCCCCTAGTTGGTCCTGTTTACTAGTTTCCAGTGAACCTAGGTAATCAAGAGTGCTTGCTTAGAATGATTGATGACTCTGTGAGGTCTTCTCCCAAATCAAAGGGTATCAATTCTGACTGCATAGGTCATTTCGTAACTCCTCCCTAGCGTTGTGCAATTCGTACGAGTTTTCAAAGTACATAGTATCTAGCAGTGGCGCTCATAACCATAGATACACACATGAGATGATTTTATCAATGTCCTCTAGCTCGAGACTGAGGGCCCCAGTTTTCTTTCGGATTACTTTGATACCGGACGAGCCCCGGCTTCGACTTATCGCGGCCAAGTCGTTGGTCAAAGACAACCTCTAGGTTGTCGATCTCGTCGTCCTTCTTCTCGGTGCCGCCCAGTCTCAGCAACTTGTATGCCGGGGTATTCTCTCCAATGTTTTTGGCTTTCACCGGGTTTTTCTGTCGCGTCCACTCTCTCATGATATGCCACACTATGGACCACGGTGCATTTGTCCTCATGCTCCCGGCCTTGCAGTGACTTCGCGTGACTTCATAGCCCAGATGACGGAGAGCGCCTCTGAAACTATCTTCATCTGGACAAATACAATGCATAGCACCCGCAAGGTTGGTAGGATGAAAGTAGAACGGATATGGCTCCAACACCGCATATTCATCCTCCGTGCTCGTTGGCGAGTCGTCCTCAGGAGGCGGGAGCGCTTCTTCGAGTGCGGTACACAGCATGCCTTCTATCCGTGGTTTTGTGCCGTATATATCGTCCGAAGCGTTGGGCAAGTCATCCAGAATTTTTTTGATAAATTCTGGGGAATGCAGCGGTCCGGCGTACATGGGACCAGCGAGATGCATTTTCGAGTCGCAATGAGCGCAGTTCAGGCCCGTTGTCGGGGCCAATGAGGATCCATGTTTGTAGAATGAACCCGTGCCAGATTTGTTCGCGGCCTTCTTGTTGCGAGCCAACAGTTGGGTTTCCCAAGCGCCGCATCCGTTGTCGCAGGTATACACCACCATTGTCTTGCCCGCAAGGAACTTGACTTGAGCTGGGGATCTCCTGATCTTAACGAATATCCGGATGTAGTAATCTATTGATAGACTGAGAAGCGGTTCGATTGCCAGGCCATACCTCGCGGCCGAGGTGGCGACGGCGTGTAAAATTAGCCGCAGTCCGACTTCGTGGGAATAGGCCCCTTTGATAGGCACGCCGCCGTATAGGGAGAATGCTTTCTCGGGATAACCATTAGACGCCCAGACGCCCGAGTCGGTGCAGGTCACGCATAGAAGACCACCGTCATCGCGGACCGCATTCACTGCGGCATCGAGAAAAGGGGCGGCCGTTCCGTAAGGGTCCAAATCAATCACATTGTATCTTCTTCCTTTATATTTATTCTTCTTGGCGTATTTTACCCTATCGTGGTCGCGAGTGACCTCATCGGCCAGCAAGGTGTACATATGAGCACGCGCATCGCCCAAGGTGGCAATAACCTTTGACTCGACGCCGTTGTGTTCGGCATTACGGCGAATGGCCTCGACAGAAGAAGGGGTGAGGTCATTGGCGGTAACGGAGGTGACGAAGGGAAGCTCTTGAGCGTATCGCAAAGCTCGGAGTCCAGTTGCGGAGAGGGCGTCGAGAATAGTAAAGCTAGGTACATGCGGCGCGTTGTGCTGTACGTTATCTTTCGGCTGAGGCTTGGGCTCGTTGGTGGTCGCAGGCGCCGGTTGGCTAATGACTGTGCCGGGCGCTTGCGTGTCCTTATGATGCGGCTTCGCAGTGCTCTCCTCAGCATCAAGCATGGATACGTCCTCTTCTCGGTCGCTCGCATTCACGGTCTGGACAGAGCCAGCGACATCGGCAGCAGCAGCACCGGCAGCACCGGCGGCAGCATCGGCGACATTCGCTTCGATCGTGTTGGGAGGCTGGTCTTGCTGTCGTTTGAGGATCGGGCCATCGGCATCGAGTTTATCGCGCTTCCTCTTGGCTACGTGCTTCGCATTGGCAGAGCGTGTCTTGGATAGCAGGTCTTGCCCGTAGGCTTTGATCGCGAGCACGGTCAAGTCTCGGTTGAA